ATAATATTCATCTTCTTTTTGATGTTGTGGTACATGAAGTTTTCGATTTGTTTGTCGATTACGAAAACCACATAGATCAAATATAAGCCAATAGAAAAAGTAACCAATAATACCCAGTACTGCCGTTAAAGACATCAATGCATAAGCACATAGTACAGTTAATAATAAACGTGCTTTGGATGGTGATGCTTCCTCCATCTGGAAAACGAAAAATCGATTATATACTTCTGACTGACAAATGAAACTTGAAAATGAATACAAATACTTTATGGTTTAAATATATGTCTATCTCATTTGACTAGGTCATTGTTCGATTCGTACGAACGAAAACAACAAGTATGTTATTGTTGTCATAGATTAAAGTACGTTTTTTTCAGTTTTTTTTTTCTTTTCTTTCAGTATTACGAACAGAAACTTAAGTAAATATAATAATGTCTTGTCATCATAGTGAGGTTGTTCTACGTCTTTCTACATGCTACATGAATGATTCACTACTGTCTTCTCATATATACATCGATGTATAAAATTTGTATACTTAGAAAAATCATGTTATTATGAGTACACAAATATCAAAATGCCTCATCATCATAAATCAATTTTAAAAATATATAGGTAAGAAAAAAAAAGAAAGATAACAATAACTAAAAAATAAACTATTCTATTTAATAACTAATTCATCGAGTCATATTTAAAATATATCGAGCTCGTCGAAGTAATGGTTTATCAACCATTGTTTGACCACGAAATGTAAATGCTCCTTTGCCTTCTTCTTTTTCATGTTTTTCATATGCTTGTATTAATTCTTTAGCCCATATTATACTTGATTCTGATGGTGAAAATGCTGTTTGAACAACTGGTACTTGTTGAGGATGAATAACTTGTTTACCAGTAAAACCCCAAGCAGCACCTTGTTCAGATTGTTTTTTTAATCCATCTAAATCTTTAAAATTAATATAAACCATATCAATTGGTTGAGCATTTTCAAATAAACGACATATTGTTACTAATTTTTGTCTTGCATAAGTTAATTCATATGCATCAAGTGAATAACGACCATTAATACCAACATCAGCTGAAAAATCATCAGAACCAAAAACAACACCTTGTAATGGAAATAAATTCGAAGCACTTGTAAGAATTGAACGAAGATCAACTAAACTTTGTGCACTTTCACAATACAATACGAGATTATATTGACGATTTGACTAAATAAACAAAGAAATTTAGATTAGGAGAGATAAAAGAAAAAAAATATTCATTCGAATCTAATATATGATCATTCATGTAATTTTAACAAAAGATAATGACAAAGAGAAGGTAATTGTTAACAAAAAATTGTCATAAAATCTTTTGATAAAAATCAATTATATTTCAATAGTCATTGAGAAAAAGAATACAGTTATTTCAATAGAACTCTGAATGAAATAAAATATAATTCTTTTAAAGAAAGTTTTTTCTGTTCTATTCTGTTCAGAATATTTCATTCTAAAATTCTAACAATAAGTTCTATAAATCTAATATATATTTAGATTATAGTTTATATTATGAACTTTATTCTTACTCTAGTAAATGTACTGAATTCAAGATAGCTGTTTGTACTAGGTTAATTAACAGCATCGTGCCCTGTTACCAGTATGTCACAGGATTTTGTTTGAGTATCCTCCTACTAAGGATTGTCTCAGTATTTACTAGGTACGTACCCAATTTGTGTACCATTCTATTTAAAAAGTTTTCAACAAATTAGTACCTTGAACATTGAGAAGCATTTTGTAGTCAAGTACTAAAAATCCATAACGTATCCAAAGGTGTCTATGATATACTGATAACAGAGTACCCTGAACTTAGTACAATCACTAGAGAAATCAATCATATACTGGTATTTTCTATCATTGGATAATTCTTATTAAAATGACGATAATATCGAATCTAAGATTTCTGAATCTGATGCGCATATAAGACACTATTAGTTAATAATTAAAATTTTCGTTTTATTTTTCTGCAAGATATTTAAATGAAATTCTACACATAAAATTTAGACTCACACCAAGACGATCAGCAAGCCATTTTATTTCATCTATTGAATCAACTTTAGGTACAAATAGACAATCAATTAATGTTGATAAATCTTTTAAAAGTTTAACATCATCATTAATATGATTAGATGACATAGAATTAATACGAACACATATTTCTCGATTAATTTTGGATGCTGACTCATTTAAATAACGAAAAATATTTTCGCGTGCTGTTTGTTTTGCTGTATCGGCAACTCCATCTTCTAAATCAAGTACAACACAATCTGTATTTGTAAATGTTGGAAGTTTTGTTAATTTTTTCCAATCACTTGAAGGTACTGTTAATACAGCACGACGAGGTAAACTTCGACCATAATAAGCACCGGCTTGACGTAGAGTAGTGGCAGCACCAACAGCAGCCATGTTTATTTTCTACACCTCGAAACATGTAAACGTGCTAAACAATGGTCAAAAATAAATAACTAATCATATTCGATAATAAAATATTTACATGTTTATATATATGAACCTATTGATTGAAGTATAAAAATTATTATTATAAGTAAATTAATTAAATAGCATAATCCAAAAGATATTTTTATTTGTCTTGATTATCCTATGTTTGAGTGACCTCTGTCGTGTCATATTGTTTGCTTTTTTTTTTTTTGATAATCAAATTTGTCGGAATAAACATGAATAAGAATACCAAGATTGAATGATAATAGAATAAAACTTTCAAAGAAATTTTTTATGAAATGTATCTGATCAATTTAAATTCAAAAAAGACCATTGTGAATAAGATAAATCTGAAATTTCTGAATAAAATATGGAAATCAATAGTTCATAATTCTATGACGATGATCCTCAAGACTTATATCTATTGAAAATGAACTGTAAAAAAAAACAAGGATACATCATACACATTCAATATTTCAATTATTTGATGATGAATATCCATCGATATTCTTTTCATCTTTCTTTTTAGCTCTTACTATATTCAACTATCATCATTGTTTCAAAGAAACTATTCATACAAAATGTATATTTGAAGCATGACTATATTATTTGATATACATATATATCATATTTGGAATAAGCGTTTACGGGTGAAGGCAAATGTCGTATACTGTACTGTAACTAAGCTATAAGTAAGAACGACAAAAAAGGAGAAAAAAGAAGAAAAAAGAACGATAAATATCGTTGTTTAACATTGTCTGACCTCTTTGATTATTCTGCAGTAGCAACAAAATAACGAAGAAACATGCAATCGTTGGCCAATCTTGCATCGAATATAATTGATCGAGAAGCATTTGCATCATGTACAAACGATTTTTCTCGTATATCATATCTTCTATCATGTTCTGAATTTGTTTCACTTCTACAAAAATCATTATTAGATGAACAAACAACATATTTAAAATGTTCAAAAACATCTACTGAATATCGTGAAAAAGGCAATGAAGCCTATGCATCTCATAATAATAATCTTGCACTAACATTTTATAATCAAGCAATTCGTTATGCTCCATCATATTCTCGTGAACTTTCACTTGCTTATGGAAATCGATCAGCAACATTATTTAATCTTAAATATTATTATTTAGCATCACAAGATGTACATCGTGGACTTAATCTTTTATCATTAAATGAAGAAGATGATAAACGTCGAGAACGTCTTGAACAACGTTTACAACAATGTCTTAAAAATAAATCTGAAGAAATACAAACAAATGATAATGAAAATAATCGAGTCGAAAATGAACTTGAACAATTAAAATCTAATCAAACATTTAATGTTAATTATCCAAGTTTAACAACATATGCTGATATTCATACTTCATTAGATCGTGGTCGACATGTTGTTTCAGCTAATATATCATCATTATTAAAATCTGGTACAATTATTCTAATTGAACAAGCATATGCATCCGTTTTATTACCATCAGCATGGTTGACACATTGTCATACGTGTTTACGTCGACTGCATCTTATTTTATTTTCTTGTTCTCAATGTACACGAGCAGTTTATTGTTCATTAGATTGTCTTCAACAATCAATAGTTTGGCATGCATTTGAATGTCGACTTACAATTGATCGTCTTGATAAAATGCAATTATTAGCATTACGTTTAATAACTAAAACTGGTTGGCAATATTTATATAAAAATAAATTAGAATTTGAAAATTATCTTAAACAAAATAGTACAGAATATCAAATAGAAAATCATAAACAAAAAATTTATGAATGGAATAATTATGAAAATATTTTAAAATTAGAAACAAATTCACATAAACGTACAATTGATGATTTATTTCAACGATCAATTCAAGCATGTATTATTGGTTTATCACTTATTAATAATACATCATTTTCTCGAGATGCATATGAAAAAATAGATTATCAAATATATATTTGTTCATTAATTTTATCTCATCTACAATCATTACCATGTAATGCACATGAAATATCAGAATTTATTTATCATCGTTTATCACCACTTTCATCATCTTGTATTGAAATTGGTGCAGGTATATATGCAACATTAAGTTTATTTAATCATTCATGTAATCCAAATGTTATACGAAATTTTATTGGTAAAACTGTAATTGTTCGTCTTCTTAGTTCTATATCATCAAATAATATTGAATTATTAGATAATTATGGTTGTTTATCAGCAACAATGGATAAAAATGAACGACAAAAAAAACTTGATGAACAATATCATTTTGAATGTCAATGTCAACCATGTATCGAACAATGGCCAAATTATGATCAATTACCTGAAGGAACAGGTGAAAAAAATATAACATCAAAAAAATTTGATGAAGCATTTAAACGTTTAATTGATGGTGAAAGACCTTCAATAAATGATCTAAATATATTTGAAGAATTTATTGCTCAATGTGATGAACAAATGCAAGAAAATAAAAATGTTAAAGGAAAAGTTTATAATAATGCACAAGAAGCATATAAACAATGTTTAAATTTTTTCTATCATTCAATTCATATAGAAGATTAGATATAATCTTAAAAGACATTTCTTAATATGTTTGCAATTTTTGTTGTTTTTTTGTAATAAAAATACAAAATATATGCACCGATACAACTAGAATAATCATTTCAATTAGAAATCGATTGTTAAAAAGTTATATCATAATAAATAATTGTATGAACTAACTCGTATTAACTATCCTATCGCAAAATCTATAATGCCTTCCAAAAGTATTCGATCAGATTTATTTTCAATTTTTTCTGCACTGTCATCAATACTAAGAAGAATCTGAATAGTGATTTGTATAGAGAATTTTACTTTCAACAAGAATTTTCGAAGATAAAAATGCTTGATCGTTTTTGAAGAATAGAATCTCTGAAAAACCAAAATCCAAGTTTTTCATCTCTTAAAATCCTGTTTGAGTTACTGAGGATAATAGAGTGAAAAATTCTCTACAACGTTTGTCGAACGAGATACATCAATCTTATAAAAAGCACAAAAATTTGTTTTTGTCTGCTATTTCGTATAGAAACATCGCTTCTATGCCTACCGTAAGATTGATGTATCTCGATAGAAAAAAAGTTGTAGAGAATTTTTCACTCTATTATTCTCAGTAATTGACAAAGAATTTCAGGAGACGAAAAGCTTAGGTTTCACTTTTTTAGAGTTCTTATCCTTGAAAAACCAGTAATCGTTCTCATCGTCGAAAATTCTTGTTGGAAATAAAATTCTCTATACAAATCGCTATTTAGACTCTTATTGGTGTTGACGACAATGCAAAAAAAAGATCGAAAATAATCCTAGTCGAATAATTTTGGAAGATATTGTATGTGTATGATTGCATCATTGAACAAGAGGTAATTTATTTATTTCATAATCAATTTACACTTTATTTTTTATTTCTATCAAATATAATCAGTCCCAGTTCAACTTTTCTGATTTTTACAACTTGACTTCATATACCGATTCAACACAAAAAAAGGATATATTATTTCGAAAATCATATCAATTTGAATAGTTTCATCCATTTAAAATGTCATAAAACTTTCTTCAATATTGAAATGGCATAATTTATTATTGACAAAAATTCTTGTTCTACAAATATTTACGCATATTGTTTAGAGTAGATTATTTTCTTATTTTTAAAATTCAAACAAAGTTTTCAATACACAACAAAAAGAAAATTCCATTTTCATCTTGAAATTTTTTTATTCCATCTGTTTCAATGATACTTAACAATATAATCCAATGTTTTAAACTATGACATATTGTTTTTTTAGCTTCAAACAGATCGATGATGTAATTATGACGAGTGAAAAATACCATGAAATGATGATAGTGGATTACATTCTAATGACAATAAGTTAGAAAAAGCTAAAAATTGATTGCACAATACATACATCATGCTAATAAAGTCAAACTCATCAACAAAATATGAAGAATAAGAATAAACACAATATCCTATAATTGTTATAACATTGGCTATATTCTAATTGCGAACAAAAAGTTAAGCCAATTAGTACAAAATTGTTCACAATTTAGAATGCAGAAATCTATCCTGATCTCATTTTTAATATGTTTTCAAATTGCCAACATTTCTTAGTTATCAAATAATCGATAGTTTTAATTGAAAATAAATACATAAGAAAAAAATCTTCGTCATAAATTTTTGTTACAGGCTAATCGACATCAGTTAATGTTCGACGTTCAATCGAAAAAATAAAGATTGAATATTTCTTGATAATTTGAGATCATGATTACGCTTTACACCATTTGATTTTATAATTACATTATCCTTTAAAGTATTGATATCAGTATTTTATCGAAATTTTCTCTTTTGGAAGGAAGATTTAGAACTCTGGGAAGGCGAACATCCGCTAAGAACAGACACATAGTACATGATACAATAATCACAAACTTCCGAACGGCGCCATGTTAGATAAAACACTGAATAATACAAAAACACTACTTGAAAGTACTTACACACATAAATTAATAAATCATTCTGAGTAAAATTTGTGTTCATATTTTGAAATGTCGTATGATCTTTTGTTCTCACGAGTACAGAAGGTGGCCAAAAAGTCACCGAACAGTTTTTGATTGCGAATAACCTTTGATAACAAAACAAGAAAGACAGCCACAATTTTCACCGTTGAAAAGAGAAGGCTTATAGACATCGAACCATATAAGAAACATTTTTAGAAAGGTTTTGAAAAACCAAGATTTCCAGAACACTCAATACTTTCGTAGTTCTCATAGTACTTTAAATTCTGAGTGCATCAGTTTGTTGAATCTTGATTAGTTAAAAACCTCACAAAAAAAATTATGAATATTATATGTCTCATATGGTTCGTTGCCCTCAAGTCTCCTTCATGCAATGGTAAAAACCACATTTCTCTTTCTTGTTTCTGTTAAAAGTTATTTGCAACTCAAAACTACCCGTTAACTTTTGCGTCACCGTATATATTAATAGAACAGAACTCAATCAAAGCGTTCACAATTTAGAAGCGGTGGATTTGTATAAACTATAAATTAGTCATAGACAAAATTGATTATCTTGATCAAACATGAATTCATCATGATATGAAAGAGAAAATTAATTGACACTTTTGAATTTCATCGTTGGTGTTAGACACCAAAAAAAAAATTAATTCAGTGATCGAATCTTGTTTGTTAGAATGTCTAGACAATTTGAAACCAAGGAAAGGAAATAACAATCAAATGATATAATCATTTTCTTTTATCTTTTGAAACATCATAACAACAGATTATCTAAATATAATATATAAATTTTTTTTATTTTTAAATAAGAAGAACACCGGTTAGGTAAAAAAAAACTCTTGAATACATATTAATTTTTTTTATACAATAAGTTCATTAAAAGCAAATGAAATTTTTTCATTAGATTGATATGGTTGAATTGTATGATGATCTATTCGATATTTAGCTAAATTGATTGTTAAACTAATAAGTGTTATTGTATGAAATAAAATAATAATTAATGTTAAATAGAATGAATATGATAAATAAATAAGCTCCATTGTATTTTTTGTTGTATACCATATAAAATGTATCAGTATTGATAAAGAAAAATATGTTAGAATATTTAAGAAAAAAAGAAATATAAGTAAATTTAATGATGTATGATAAATACGACGTATAAGAATTATTATCCAAATTAAACCACTTAAATCTGTTAATAATACAGATATAAATGAAAGAATTTGAAGAATTAATAAGAGACGACCTATTAACAAATATATACATATATATTTTTATTATCATAAAAAATTCATTTGAATTTATTTTACTCTTACCTTCTTGTGTATCAATTTCTGGTTCAATAGTTATCCATGATGAAAATAATGTACGTGCACGCCAAAGACCGATTTGAAAAGTATCTGATGACCACCAATAAGGCATAAGCATAGCAACAGTTGTTAATATTGTTGTTATTGGTATAGTAATTAAAAACATTTTTTGTAAAACGAATACAATGTTAACAGTCATGTTGTTTTCTTTTTTTTATTCAAATGAAATGATTGTTGTTCACTCTTTATATATATATATATAGGTATATGTGTACATAAAAATACTCTTTCGCTTTTTCTCTCCCACGATATGGAATATATCATGCATATATATATATATATATATGTGAACATCAATTGGCAATTCTTCTTATTCTGTGGGAAAACAGCGATCGAATGTGACCGTGTCAATATGTGCAAATGACATTCAATCACTTTTCTACGGATGTTTACACACGTATCATAAATACATAGATGAATAGTCACGAAAGAAGAGAAATTTTTTTTCCCATAATGAACAAATTGATATTTTCTATTCACTTGATAATAGATCAATAGTTTAAATATTGAAAGATTATCGATAATTTTCTCATCATTGAAATCAAAATTTTCACAATAAAATGGTTGATTGATGTTTGGAAATGATTGTTCTTGTAAGAAGAAAAAAAAAAAACTTCCTTTTTCACAATGTCTAAACTAATTAATTTAACAATTTTCAACTAAACATTATAAATCATGTACAGTGCTAGTGAAAAATTTAAGACTTCTTTATTCTACAATACTAAGCTTTGAACTCAAATTTAAATAGTTATTTGCATAACTAACGAAATTTTCTATCAAATAAATGCATTCCATACCGCAATTTCATAAATGGACTATGAGAGGAAACTTTCTGAAATACCAAACTGAGTAGTTTTCGGGTCTTAGATTTCCTATGATCCTCCCTAAAAAAGTTATAAGCATAAAAAAAAGCAAAGTTTATCACAGCATTGCTAAAAAATGTAGTTTTTGTTTTTCATGATATTTACAACTTTGTAAGGAAAAATCATAGGAAATGCGACGAACCCTCGTTTTATTCAAGATTTTGTGCACGTTAAGATCGTATCCTTAAAGTCTAATTTCAATAGTCTTCTGAGATTTAAAAAATACCGTGTTTGATTTTTTAGAAACCTTTTTTTCGCAATCCATTTATGAAATTCCGATACGAAAACTTCATCGGCTACTCGAACTACTTTTTAGATTTAAGTTAAATGCCTGATAATACAGGAAAAAAATACATTAGTTGTATATTTTTGGCCAGTACTGTAAAAATGTCATATTGGAATGAAGGTCATTGTGATACGTCAACATCTAAGGATCAGGGTTAAGAAAATGAAATTATTGATTAGTTAGATTAGATGTATTAGTTACAGAACAGAGTTTGATGTCTAAATATTGGTGGTCATCAATCTTTTTGATACGTGTTTATGTGGAAAGAAACTGTCATGAAGAAACAACAAGTTAATGCTGTTAATTGACTGAAAATAAAATGTATCTATCATACATTGTCAATATGATAGATTAAATTCCTTGAATAACTAATGAAAGAAAATAAAAATAGCAAACAAATATCTGTCGAGATTTTCTTGTAAATGAAGAAATTATCCATGAGAAATATTTTTCTATTTTATTTCTCAATTAATTCTTTTGTTGAAAAGAGATTGTAAAGGTAGAAACGCTTACGCTGATTTATTTAACTTAAATAACATAAAGAAATCTCTACTATTAAATATAAACACTCATCTTGTATCATCACAAGAAGCAATGCACTATTTATGCAGCTCTACTTCTACATTGTATATTACATTATATACTTTCGCTAATTATCTCTTCAAATGTTCTTTAAGAATCTGGTTAAATGAATTGATCAAAGTATAAGAACGAAAAAAAAATGATTGTGCATAAAGAATTTTTTAAAAGTAATTTTGATAATCAGACAAGAGAAAATGATGAGTAAATAATTCTTTGATTTATTTTGAATGAATTTGCATCTTTTACTATATTCATTGATATGCTTTTTTCCCCAATGTAATACCACAGGAATGTTATCTTTAGATGTGCTTCATATTCAAAGCAACGTTTTTCTTAATAATCAACAAAAAAACATTGGCGAAATAAAAAAAAAAAAAGAATTTTGTCAAGCTTGTGAAATCGGTTGATTTAACTATCATTTGGTATTGTAAGGCCTAATAAAACATTCTGTAATAGGTTCTTTTATGACAATAAATATAATCTAGAAAAAGCAAAAATAACCAATAATAGTTGCAAATGCATTCGACGACAAAGTAGGAAAATGTTCTTATGCCAATATAAAAAATAAGCTTTCTCTCTAGACATTAACATTTAATTGACAGTACAGATTAGAGATAGAAGAATAGTTTCTTTTTTTAAAAAGATAAAAATTCATTGTACCAAGGAGAAAAAAGCTGATTACAATCAAAGTAATCATCGGCAATCTTAGATAGCAGGATATCAGCTTTCTTTTCTGGACATTAGACTTTGTCAAAAACATGATTGTCGTACTGTTTTGTGATGACAATGAGAAGTGTTTTCAGAAACAACCTGAATTCTTTATCTGATGATGAAAAAACAGAGAGCAATCATGGACAATCAGCTTTTTCCCCCCTAGTATTGTACATAAATAAAGAAATAGTTCTAAAATAATATATAATTGAGAAATAAAAGCACTCAATGTAATAAAAAGAAAAGCGAAGTTTAAATATGAAGGCTACATGAAATAATTGTAACAGTAGAATTACTGAGTAAAATGTACAAGTAAATACATATATAACTACTCTAATATTTTATATAACCTAGATAATACCTGTGCAAATAGGATGTAGCTCAATATTAATAATAACCTCTATAATCTCTTGTGTTTTTTCCATTCTAAAACTCAAGCCTACTGGTTATGCTCGATTGGAAACCACGATTATTGCTCCTTGAACAAATGCTCCTCCAATACTTGCTCCTCAGCAGCATTTGTTCTCATCACGTTTTCTCTCTTACGGTTCTTATTTTGAACTACGATCAATCAAAAACCAATCAGAAAAGTATTGAAGGTATATATAGACTCCCTCTTCTTCCTCACCCTTCTGTTTGTCCTCGTCCTAACCTCAAGCTTCGGTCTGATATTTTCGTTCGTTCTGACACTGTCTTCTACCTCTCTCTCTAATAACCTCCCTGAGATTCACATTGCCCTCATCCTCATCATCAGCCTCGCGATATCATGACAGCAAGTGTTGCGGAAACAACTGTCGTATTACCGCTTGATTGTTAGATAAATTGTTTATATCTTTGACTATTTCTTTATATTACGCTAACTATGTTGAATCATTTTGTAATTTCAATATTAGCAAGTCGTTTATTCCTTTCCGTGTTTCTGCATGAAATGAAATTCTTCATGCAGAAAAGCCTTGGTAAACATGCAATGGCTACACGGGAAGATAGAAATGTTAATGATTCAGACCTAGATGTATACAGAAAAGAAAGATACTAAATTAATGATTGTGTGTGTATTGTGAAGAAAAAATGTTATTTTGTCTTGTATTTAGTATTGATATATCATAAATTAGTAAACAAAACTTGAATTTATCGTTCACAATACATGAAATTATGAACATATTATATATATAGGTGCTGTCAAAATTATACAACTATTTTTTGATGCAAACTTTGTTTTAAGTTGAAATTTTCTGTATGACACATGATTCAATTGAACGAATTGTGCTCTAGGTAATGAGTACTTTTCATTGTAGCTTTCCTTTGAGTATGTGTCTAAAACAAGGCTTTTTTTTAATACGATGCTTAGTCAATTTATTAATCAATATAACATTAGCAAGACTACTACAAATTGTATGAGATATTCTATTTGAATGGATATTTCATATTGAAAAATTGTGTTTGTCGTTTCCAATATAAAGACCAATCACAGATAGAGGTTCTTGAATAGTCTCATTTGCACATTAAACGAAATATAAAAAATTGTTTTTGAAGCGTGAATTTCTAGGGAATTGTTTTCTATAGAAAAACTTTTATATTTAAAATCAAAAACTGATTATATCACTGACGTTATATACCTTTGTTATATTATAAATAGCAGGAATGAAAAATGATATCGCAATCTTCAAAAACAGCCGCATTGCAGGTCTCATGAACTATGTAACCAATTTTTGCGCGTCACATCTACGTAGATAGACGATGAAATTTATAACGATCCGCTGTTTTAAGTTTTATTCGATTCATCTTTATTTGGTGAGATAAATATCCAGTCTGCTTCTGGGTTTATAGTAAGCTTTTTACGTTTGCTATTTATGACCTAACAAAGGTATGTAACGTAAGTAATACAATCGTTATTTGATTTGAAATATAATAGTTTTCTAAGGAAAACAATTCCCTAGAAATTCACGCTTCTAAAACAATTTTTTATACCTCGTTCATTGCGTAAGTGAGACCATTCAAAAATCTCTATCTGTGATTGATTTATACATTGAAGATGACAAACACAATTTTTTCAACATGAAATATTCATTCAAATAGAATATTTCATGCAATTTGTAGTGCTCTTACTAATGCTATATTGAACAATAAATTGGCTAAGCATCATATTAAAAAAAGTGTCGTTTGTCGCACCTTATTATTAAATCAGATGATTCCAACTCATCTAGTTTTTGGGATATATACAAAATAAAATAAATTTCTCTACTGGTTGGATAATTTTGACAGCGATTATATATATTTTCTACTCATGATATTTTTTATTTATAGTTGTCAAAAATATTAACGTTTTCTTGTGTTCAATATGTTAACAATAGTCTAATTTTAAATGAAATGCCACACAAAGAAAATAATTCTGTACGATACTGCTTTGATATAGGGCTTGTCCGCAGGTAACGCACTCACGTTTTTTCAACTTACAATTCATTTTTTTCTGGAACGATAAAGAGTGGGACCTTGAAACTTGAAGTACATGTGCATCTTGGAAGGCTCTTTAACATATGTAGGTTTCATACAAATTAAGTTTGAGATTCAATTGTTATAGGAAAAAATATATGTCGGTAACGCACTCACAAAAAAAGGCCCCTTGTCTGTCGGGTGATGTTAAAACTCAATAAATTCCTGCGACTA